AAGGTCCTTCCTATCCTTTTGCAGTTAATCCTTACCTCCACTCCAAGTGTTTAGGCAGACACAAAAGTAGCCAGTGCCTGAGTTTAGGGCAAAATCCTGGAACCTGGGATCTGTGTGGAGGTCCAGGAGGCTGGATCGACGTGAGAGAGGGGGACACAGGGGTGGTGAGAGCAAACGTGGGCCAGGGAGCAGATCACACTCCTCTAGGACGTCTTTGTAAGGTTTTAGACTTTTCCTGAGTCAAGGGGAATGTCAGTGCATGACTTTTAAATAGAGAAATGTCGTAATTGGCTTTGTCTTTACAGGAGCAGCAGTTAGAAGCAGAGAGAAGAGATTTGGGGGGATGGGATGATGATGGTGGCAGATGAAGTGGAGACGAGCAGGTGACATTTTGGAAAATGTATCATTGCTCTATAAAACTGAATCAAAAAACAAGTGGTTTGTTGGAGTTAAGGTTATGGGTGAGTTGGAGTTAAGTTTATGGATGCTTCGACCTGGTGAACTTGCTGCAAGGTCATGATGTTATGTATGTGTTTGATCAGTCACCATGTTCAGTATTTTGTCAATCACTTTTCTAGGTATTTCAGTAAAGGCATTTTTTAGATGAAAGTAACATTTAATCAGTAAGCTTTGCTTAAAGCCAATAACTTTTTAAATTGTAGTGGACTTGATCAAATCAGTTGAGTTTTCCAAAAGAGGGGGTAATTCTTCCAACAGGTGGCCCTCAGCTTGAACTGCTGTCCCTCCAGATCTGTAGCCTGCTTGTTCCCCATCCTGCAGATTTTGGATTTGCCAGCCTCTGCAGTCCTTGGAAGAAAAGGTATTAAAAGCCTAGACAGCATATTAAAAAGCAGAGACACCACCTTGCCTACAAAGGTCTGTATAGTCAAAGCTGTGGTTTTTCCAGTAGTCAGGCACAGATGTGAGAGTCAGACCATAAAGAAGGCTAAGTGCTGAAGAATTGATGCTTTTGAAGTGTGGTGCTGGAGAAGACTCTTGAGAGTGCCTTGGACTACAAGGAGAGCAAACCAATCCATCCTAAAGGATATCAGTCCTGAATATTCATTGGAAGGGCTGATGCTGAAGCTGAAGCTCCAATACTTTGGCCACTTGATGAGAAGAGCCAACTCCTTGGAGAAGACTCCAATGCTGGGAGAGATTAGGGGAGGAGAAGAAGCGGGCAACAGACAATGTGATGGTTGGATGGCATCATTGACTTGATGAACATGAGTTTGAACAAACTCCAGGAGATAGTGAAGGACAAGAAAGCCTGGGCATGCTGCAGCTCATGGGGTCACAGAGTCAGACAGAACTGAGGGACTGAACAGCATCAAGAATCCTGAGAACCAGTTCCCTGAAAGATATCTCTCTCTTTGTGTATACAGTTGACCCTTGATCAGCTCAGGGGTTAGGGGTGCAGAACCTCCCCAAAGTCAAAAATCCACATATAACTTATGTCCACTCTTAGTATCCAAGGTTCTGCATTCTTTGATCCACCAACATCAGACCATGGAGTACTGTAGTATTTATTACTGAAAAAATTCCACATAGAAGTGGGCCCGCACAGTTGAGACCTGTGTTGTTTAAGGGTCAACTGGATATATTATGTCATGTCAGTTGGGTTTCTCTGGGAAACTCTAATACACAGTCTTTGGTATATTGCAGATTAGAGGTACCTGGAGAGGTGAGCGTAGCAAAAACCTTACCCTGAATAGTGTTTCTTTATTATTGACCTCCTGCAGCATGTCAGAACTTGATTAGGTTCCTGGGGATATGGCAGAAGGAAAGAAAATGACCCGATCGCTGTCCAACTTTCCCAGTGATCACACTTTGGAATGTGCGTTAAACACTGTACATTTCAGGTTCTTAATTTAAAAATAGGGATATGACTAAACTCATTAAGTTGTTGAGAACTTTAAATGTCATAATGCATATAAAGTATTTAGTGGTGAACCAGGCTCAAAATGAGCTCTTTAAAATGACAGTGTTATTATTACTGTCTCCCACTCAAAGGGCATTATGTGGCTGCCATGACTGTTAACAGTTCAAGTGGTAATAACAGTCAAAGAGATAATAATACCTTGCACTGACTTGACTCACTTAACATTTTAAAGAACTTTCATATATTATTCATTATTATGCCACTGATAACCTGTGTAGATTATTGTGCTTTTCATGTCAATGGAAATGAGAAAAATGTTACATGATTTCATCCTTAATTAAGTATAGGGAGGTATCTGGCTGTATATGCACATCTAACCTTCTGCGTGTGTGTGTTAGTCAGGTAGCCGTATCTGACTCTGTGATCCTATGGACTGTAGCCCACTAGGCTCCTCTGTCCACGGGGTTCTCCAGGCGAAAATGCTGGAGTGGGCTGCCCTTACCTTCTCAAGGGTTCTTCCCAAGCCAGGGACTGAACCTAGTCCTCCTGATTACAGGCAGACTCTACCGTCTGAGTCGCCGAGGCACATAGTGGATAAAATTTTATGTGGCCTCTATAATGAGTAATCAGAGTTCAAATAAGTATGGTAGCACCAGAAATCAATGTTGTATGAGGAAAATGTTTTTTAAAAAAGAAAAAGAGTATATAATTTCTTTAAGAATATTTTAAGGAATACAATTTTTTTTTGAAAATTTAAAAATTAAACAATAAACAGAAACTGTCTGCCTCTTAGCTCCCAATTGAGCTCAGATTGAACCTGCATCTCTTGTGTCTCCTTCATTAGCAGGCAAATTTTTTACTACTGTGCCACCAGGGAAGCTGTGAGATGGGTTTGGAGAACCTCAATTTAACAAACACTGTACTATTGTTAATGGAATTATTACAGTATTATTAAATATAATTTTCCATGGTAACAGTTTTTATGTTAAATCTTGGTCAGTGGAAGAGTTCCGATTTCTATCTCCACTATTGTGTTAAATTTATGTTATTGTTTTAAGAAAGAAAATACTGGGTTCATGTCTTTCCTCAGCTTCAGCCAAGATTAATGCATGCCAAAGGACCAAGTGATTCCTTCCAAATTCAGCTTCTAAGGTTTTATGAACAAGCAGGACTGAACTGACCTGCTTCAGTTCAGTTCAGTTCAGTGGCTCAATTGTGTCCCACTCTTTGCAACCCCATGGACTGCTGCATGCCAGGCTTCTCTGTCCATCACCAGCTCCCAGAGCTTGCTCAACTCATGTCCATTGACTCGGTGATGCCATCCAAGCATCTCATCTTCTGTAGTCCCCTTCTCCTCCTGACCTCAATCTTTCCCAGCATCAGGGCCTTTTCAAATGAGTCAGTTCTTCCATTCAGGTGGCCAAAGAATTGGAGGTTCAGCATCAGTCCTTCCAATGAATATTCAAGACTGATTTCCTTTAGGATGGACTTGTTGGATTTCTTTGCTGTCTAAGGGACTCTCAAGAATGTTCTCCAACACCACAATTCAAAAGCATCAATTTTTCTGCACTCAGCTTTCTTTATAGTCCAACTCTCACATCCATAAATGACTACTGGAAAAACCGTAGCTTTGACTAGATGGACCTTCGTTGGCAAAGTAATGTCTCTGCATCTTAGTGTGCTGTCTAGGTTGGTAATAGCTTTTCTTCCAAGGAGAAAGCATCTTTTAATTTCATGGTTGCAATCGCTATCTGCAGTGATTTTGGAGCCCCCCAAACATAAAGTCTGTCACTGTTTTCACTGTTTCCCCATCTATTTGNTTTCCAAATTTGTTGGCATATTGAGTGCAGCACTTTCACAGCATCATCTTTTGGAATTTGAAATAGCTCAACTGGAATTCCATCACCTCCACTAGCTTTGTTTTTAGTGATGCTTCCTAAGGCCCACTTGAGTTTGCATTCTAGGTTGTCTTGCTGTAGGTGAGTGATCACACCATCTTGGTTATCTGGGTCATGCAGATTTTTTTGTATTCTTGTGCCTCTTCTGACCTGCTTCAGAGGAACTTCATGAAACTTGGAAGAGGGCTGATGCTCTTGTGCTTTTTTGGTTAAAGTCAAACCCCCTGCTTCTTTCCATATACTTCCATATATTTAACATTTTTGTGTTCTCATATTTCAGGCTACTTAATCTAAATGTCATCTAATGCCATCTAAATGCCATCTTAATCTACATGCCATCTAAATGGCATCTAAAATGCCATGAATACTTCAAAATATATCTGTGTTTTCCTTCTATGCACTAGCAATTTAATATACACCAATGAGAAAAAAAAAAAGATTGTGAAGATGGGTAAACTGTATGAGGGTGTTTAGGGTGGTATAAGAATAGCCAGCTATTATAACAGGGCTGGAAAGGGGTGTAATTAATTGATCTAACATTTTAAAGAATATTCATTATATTCAAGTGATTTACTTATTCTAATTCAATATTATTTCAGCTAATGTACTTAATTTGATGGGTTCCTGCTCTAGGAATTACTTGATTAAACTGTCTTTGACTTGGCAAAATTTTATTTGTGTGACTGTTAAATCTCTAGCTCATTAATGTCATTGGTGCAAATAATTGTTTTATATTAAAATGTGAAAGATTTTTTTTTGTTTTGAATGCATTCATTATAGTACTTTCTTGTTTTTAAAATGGTTTAAAATATATTTGTATCCTCAAAAGTAATTGGTGAGATTAGTAGGGAAAGTGGTGCTTTTTGCAAATAAAGGAAATGATTAAATGATTTTCAAGGGCTTCCCTGATGGTCAAGTAGCTAAGACTCCATGCTCCCAATGCAGGAGACCCTAGTTTGATCCCTGGGCTACCCAGGTGACATTAGTGGTAAAGAACCTGCCTGGCAATATAGGAGACATAAGACACGTGAGTTCAATGAGTTCCTGACATGAGTCAGGAAGGTCCCCTGGAAGAGGACACAGTAACCCACTCTAGTTTTCTTTCCTGGAGAATCCCATGGACAGAGGAACCTGGCAGACTACAGTCCATGGGGTCCCAAAGGTTTGGACATGACTGAAGCAACTTAGCACGTATGCAGGGAAGTAAGATCCCAGATGCCTCAAGACCTGGCACAACCAAATAAATCAGTACAAGAAAAGGAGACTCACATGAGTGATCATACAAGATCATACAAACAAGAGGTAAGACCTGGATGACATTCAGGTCAGGAGATTGCTTGTTTAGTGATGAATTACTAATTTGGCATAATTAGTCTCTGTTAACATCCATTTCCAGGAAATGTACTGATGTTTACCTACGTTCCTCATTCTGAAGGAGTCTTATATTGCTAATGTGGATATATTCTAGTTATTCTTCCAAGGAGTTTTGTCTGAAATTCAATGATATCCATCTCAATTCTTCTCCTGCCGTCATTTCATTGGACTGTGGTAAGAAGTGTGTCTGTGACTTCAGAGCACCCTTGAATAGGGGATTTGCAAGGGTGGTGGGAAATAAGGCAGCAAGTTCTGTGAAATCGGAACAGTAGGTTGTGATGTTAGAGCAATTGCAGGTGGGCAGCTCACAGCCAGCATGCTAAGTCAATTCAGTCATGTCTGACTGTATGCGATGACCCTACAGACTGTAGCCCGCCAGGCTCCTCTGTCCATGGGATTCTTCAGGCAAGAACACTGGAGTGGGTTGCCGTGCCCTCCTCCAGGGGGTCTTCCCTATTCAGAGATCAAACCCACGTCACACATCTTCTGCAGTGGCAAGTGGGTTCTTTACCACTAGTGCTGCCCGAAAAGTCCAGCGGCAGCATAAACAGTAAAATGCTAACGAGACAAACCCAGAGAAGACTCAGAAGAGCCCAAGATACCCTAACTCCTGGGCCTTACTGGCCAGGACTACTTAGTCTTCAGTATCACAGACCACCCCAGCTTAGTTCATCTTCACAGGAATATCCAGGCATACCATAGTCTGGAATTCTCCAGGCCAGAATATTGGAGTGGGTAGCTGTTTCCTTCTCTAGAGTCTGTAAGTTGACTGCAATTAATTGATGAATCAATAGTTAACATTCATAGCATTCTCCAAGTTTAAATCTCATGAAATGCATAGATTAACATTATATTTCTGTCATCTTGCTTCTAAAACTTAATGGCCAACCTGAGGAAAAAACTGGGAAAACAAGGAAAACTCAAATCACAAAGACAAAAACATCATAAAAGATGATTGTTGCTTCATGAGGGCAGTTTACTTTAAAAGAGAAGAAATTAAGGAGTAATCTTTTCCTGAAGACAGCCAGTCAGTGGCTTTTTCAGAAAAAAAAAAAAAAAAAAAATGGAGGTTTTTGTAGTAAATTCTCCTGAATAAGATTCTTTGACCACTTCTGTTTCAACCATGCTGCTTCTCACATCTTTGTTAAGATGAATTATGATTTAATAAAGTCACCAAAGCTTTAAAATTCTAAAGCCATTGGTTAGTGCTGCTCCTGCTGCTAAGTCGCTTCAGTCGTGTCCAACTCTGCGACCCCATAGAGAGCAGCCCACCCGGCTCCCCCGTCCCTGNACTGGAGTGGGGTGCTGTTTCCTTCTCCAATGCATGAAAGTGAAAAGTGAAAGTGAAGTCGCTCAGTCGTGTCCCACGCTTCGCGACCCCGTGGACTGCAGCCTCCCAGGCTCCTCCGTCCATGGGATTTTCCAGGCAAGAGGACTGGAGTGGGGTGCCATCGCCTTCTCCGCCATTGGTCACTACTCATGCTTATTTTTTTAAACATCAAAGCTACACTTAAAAATAAATCTGCATTCTCTTTGAAGGATTTGGAGAAATCAGGGAGATCTGAATCATCCACTTGTAACCTGTACTGATTTTAAAAATAAAATGCATGTGAGAGTTGTGACTTAACATTTATTTGGGGCAAAATGAGGACTGGAACATAGGAGACAGCGTTTCAGACACTCTGTGAAACTGCTCCAAGGAGGGGAGGGGGGAGCTAGGATAATAGGAGTTTTGCAACAAAGGGCAGGTAGTAGGGAACATCTAAAGATTGCAGATAAAGAAACCAGCTCTGTTTAAGTTAAGTAATTTAGCACTTTTCTATGAAGTAAAAGAGGAGAGTGAAAAAGTTGGCTTGAAACTGTCATTCAGAAAACTAAGATCATGGCATCTGGTCCCATCACTTCACAGCAAATAGATGTGGAAATAATGGAAACATTGAAAGACTTTATTTTTTTGAGCTCCAAAATCACTGCAGATGGTGGCTGCAGCCATGAAATTAAAAGACACTTTCTCCTTGAAAGAAAAACTATGACCAACCTAGACAGCATATTAAAAAGCAGAGATATTACTTTGCCGACAAAGGTCCATCTAGTCAAAGCTATGGTTTTTCCAGTAGTCATGGATGGATGTGAGAGTTTGACTGTAAAGAAAGCTGAGCACAGAATAATTGATGCTTTTGAGTGGTGGTGTTGGAGAAGAATCTTGAGAGTCCTTTGGACTGCAAGGAGATCCAACCAGTCCATCCAAAAGGAAATCAGTCCTGAATATTCATTGGAAGGACTGATGCTGAATCTGAAACTCCAATATTTTGGCCCCCTGATGCGAAGAACTGACTCATTGGAAAAGACCCTGTCGCAAAGAGCTGGACATGACTGAGGGACTGAACTGAACTCAACTATGTATAGGAAGATATAAGAGTCTGGGTTAACTGAAATCTTTCCTTCAATATGCACCTCAGCTCTCCAGAGCCAGTATCCTGTTTTCTTGGTTTTTTAGAAATATTTATTTATTTGGTTGCATCGGGTCTCAGTTGTCACGTGTGGGATCTTTCATTGTGGCGCATGGAATCTCCAGTTGCGGCACTCTGGCTTAGTTGTTCCACAGCATGTGAGATCTTCATTCCCAGACCAAGGGTTGAACCTCCATCCTTTGCATTGCAAGGTGGGTTCTTAACCACTGGACCACTGGCAAGTGCCTATCCTCTGTTTTTGTAACTGAGCAGAGCCCTACGGGGCATTCCAGTGATAGACCCTCCCTCATATCCTCTGCTTAGCTCCTCTCTGAAGCAATTAGATAACAATCTCTGATGCACATTCCTGAGTTGTTTCACAGACAGGAAAACAACCCATCAAATGTATGATGTTAGCTGCTTGATGACCTTGAGCAGACAGCCCCAGACCTCCTAGAGCCTAAGGGCTGAGAAATAACCCCTGTGACACCCCCTTGCTCCCTCACCATCAGTCAATCAGAGAAATGTGCAGAAGCTCATCACAGACCCTGCAACCTGCCCCTCTCCCCAGCCTGGCTTTTAAAAACGCACTGCTGCCAAGAAAATTAAAAGAAAACAAATGCTTGGGGACGTTTTAGGGCATGAGCCACCTGTCTCCTAGCATGACCCTGAAATTAACCTTTCTCTGCTCCAGACTCTTATGTTCCAGTTTGTTTGGCCTCACTGTGTGTTGGGAACACACACTTGCACTAACTTTTCCACATCCTGCTTGTGCCCAGGGCTCCCTATAGGGAGTGGCTGCAGTCTGGTGGCTGCTAGATAGCAGGTATTATTTTCCTTTCTGACTGTCCGCAGGGCTCACTGGCTCACCATCCATGGTGGCTGCAATTGATGATGATTGTGACCTCCTTTATTTACTGATTAGCAGGAAATATTCCATTTCTCACCTATGTGGTCTTGGACTAATGACTTAACATCTTTGTGCCTCAGTATCCCCATCTACAAGAAAATTACAAACATGATGGTCACATTAGTTTTTTATGAGAAATCAGTGGTAATAAAGGCAAAGCCCTCAGAAAAGACCTACCAGATAGTAACCACTACAGACATGCTCCTTAAAAATGTCAAATGCTCTGGCATCAACAAACCTGTGTGGAGTGATCTGGGAATTTATGTTCCGAATTGGAGCCAAGCTGCTCCCACTGTTAACTCAGAATGCAGGTATTAGGGAGACGATGAGCACTGCTGCAAATTCCAACATGTATTTGATGTTTGACTGAACCATGGAATCTGTTTCCGTGCATAATGCAGACCTAGTCCTTTAAATAATTTACCAACCACTTTATTGACTAAAAAAAATGTAAAAATGTGTGAAATACTAGGCAACCCTTATACCCCTTTTATCTGGGGCTTAAGACTGGAGGTTTAAGACATGTTTACCCTCTTTTCTCTTAGGAGCATATGCCCCAAACTTAGTGAGCATTATGCTATATTAACTTGTGTTTTCTTTAGAGAACACAAGGGCAGAGCATCTTCTCATAAGTACAGAAGAGGAGAACGCTATGTGTGAACTTATGTTCTGACTGTTAGAATAGGATCTCCCTGGAGAGTAGTCAGCCATTATCTTGTTTTTTTGGTGAAATAATTTGAAATTTTTATCCTATGAAGAGAAGGATGTGGGGTTGACCTAAACAAAACAGAACAAAACAGAAACATGTGATGGCTTGGAATAATAAAATCCACACACCTTATCATGATCTAAAAATCACTCCATGATTTAGCCCCTATCTCTCATCTTAAACTTATTTTGAAACTACTTGTATTCATGCAGTTCACTCCAGACTGAATGGTTCCCATTTTGGTTTTTGCCTGAACACATCAATCTCATTCTTTGCACTTGCTTATCTCTTTGTCTAGAAACTTTTTCTCCTGGACCTTCACATGTTTTCATTATTTTACTTATTTCATTCAGATCTTCACAGAGATTCAAACTGAGACTGTTCAGCTCTAAGGATACATTTCTTTCATTGTGGAATAAGCTACGTGAGTCCACACACTGCTGTGTGAAATGTCAGGGTGCTGGATCCACAGACTGCGGAGCCAGCAGAAACATCATGCACAGGGGCTTGGATTGAGAGAGAGGTGGTGGCGTACTCTGGGTCACCTGCTCTCACAACTCGCTTGTACCTCTGCCCTGTCTGAGTGCGGTGTCTCACATACTTTCCTATCCGGTGGTAGAGCGTTGCTGTACACACCCATACATACAAGTAGGTGGGTCAGATTGCAGTGGTTTAGGGTGAATGCCCAGCTCACACAGTCACCTGAGTGTCCATAGCTAAGTATTCATTTTCTGTAAGGCTAGAAACTGTTTCTCAAAAAGGAAACATTTACAGAGGAGCGTCCAGATTTGTTCTGGAATCTGAGAGGTATGTGCAGTGATTCTAGTACAAAGCCCTATTTACCATAGATGCTTGGAGTGACCTTGGCACTGCTGGAGGTTCGGAGCAGCCCCATGCAGCCTGAACTTGCCACAGAGCCTCCGCCTGCTCCGGAACCGACACAGAATGGGCAGCCTGTGGCTATCTCTGCCTCGGTCAAAGTGCTTCATGATAATGGCACATTTTGCCACTACACTATCTTGATGTTTAGAAAAAATTTGGAAGTGTGCATTTCCAGAAAATGTACAGAACATTTTCTGTACATGAAAGGGCAACATTAAAAAACCCACAGTTTGTCTTTCAAATAATGCCCAAATACTTAACATAATTACATAAGGATTAAAAAAAAAACCCAAAACAAACAAGCAAACAAAAACAAACCCAAAGGTCTCTTCCAACACTGAAATTATATAATTCCATAACCTATGTTTGGACCTATGATATTATTTACAAAATAATTTATTTTGAACAAAATATATTCATCAGTCTCATAAATGATTAGCAAGTATATTTCAAATGGGATGTTAAAGTTCATTAAGATCACAGGTTTTTTCCTGGTTGGATTTTTTTTCTGATTAGATAAGCACAAAATTTTACTCATATAAATGTCTTTTAAAACAGATAAGTAACTAGAAAAAGTATATATATAAAATATATGCTATATTAAGCTACATGATTATAGTCCTCTAGTTTAAAAATCTATAGATATTCCAGGATAAACCTTTAGGTGTTTGAAGTTATATGTCAATGAATATTATTTTAAAGTTTTATTTTCCATATGGACTATCTAGATAAAAGACTTATTTATGATGTATGCACTAGGTACATGATATAAATCTGTCAATCCATAAAAGAATTAATTAGACATTTAATGATTAAATAATGAGTGAACTGATTTTTTAATAGAACATAACACTTCAAATTGTTGAAAATGATTATTTGAAATCTATACAATTCAACTGAATTTTCTTTTCAGATTCATCAAGAGAGTTGAACCAAATTTAAGGCTCAACTTTGATGATTTCCAAGCATGGCTCAAGGGACTTTCCTGGCAGTCCAGTGGTTAAGACTCATTAAGATTCAGGAGGCCCAGGTTCATTGCTGGTCAGGGAATTTGATCAGCAACTAAAGACATACAGCTAAAGACCCAGTACAGTCAAATAAATAAAGATAAATAATATTTTTTTAAAAAAGAGCATCGAGAAGTATTTTTTTTTAATGGAGATGATAGCAGCAGTAAACATTGGGGATTGTTTTGGTGATTAACTGCTATTTTTAATTGCACGTTAAGAGGTACAAGAGGGAATTCAGACTCTTAAGACCTCTGTAAATGGGCACCAACCTGGCTGAACTCATCTGTAATAATTTGCCCAATCCATCCACTATCCCTTCTGAGGAAGATGCTCAAAGCACATTAGTTGGATGAATGGATGTCTTATTACTACACTGTGACCTGCAAAGAGTTCTCATGTTCCCTCTGCACACCCAGTGTTTCCTCCAATGCTCTCTGCCGTGGCGCTTACCCACCTTTAAGCCGCTCCCACTGCTCAGCAAGAGGAATGTTTAACTCACCTCCCAACCCACGTGTGCCTTCCTTGCACAGCCAAGTCTCTCGCAGGAGTCATTTTTATGCTGCTCTTCACTTTTGTGTTGTTCAACTTTATCTTATCTCTCCAGTAATACACATGCACTGTTAGCCAAAGGCATATTTGATGATACATAAATTGCTTTGGCTGTCTGATGGATGTTTACGGACACAGAGAGGTATTTGATTTTCTCATGTTTGCTCATGAAGATTCAGTCTCTCAAAGCAGAATATGAATCTCCTGCCAGAAGTAGCTGCATTTTGATTTCAGAAAAGTCATCATAGAAAATAATGTGTCAAGGGTTCATTTAAAGATTATTTGTTTTGAAAACCAAGCTAATCTAGACTCTACAGAATCCTTGGCTTCCCTGGTGGCTCCGTGGTAAAGAATCTGACTGCCAATGCAGGACACGCAAGAAACGCGGTTTTGATTACTGAGTCAGGAAGATCCCATGGAGGAGGAAATGGCAACCCACTCCAGTATTCTCAGCTGGATAAGTCCACGGATTGAGGAGCCTGGTAAGCAACAATCCATAGGGTCGCAAAGAGTCAGACACAACTGAGCACATACACCCCCCACCACACACACACAGGCTAATTGATAACAACAACTCAGTGCTCTGGAAATTGACTAAAGGGAATTAACAATCTGAGAATCTCTCATGCTTGAAAAACCTCTGAATTTCAGGAGAATTCCAAATGATGCATGGAGACACTCCGCCTGTGGAGGTAGAGCATAATCCCTCACTCCTGAAATATCGGGTCCACGTAGTGACTATTAAAGGATGAACACCATGAAATCCAGATTTAATGTTACCTTTTAGTCCCCCTAAATGTGCTGGGCAAATTGAAAAAATGTCCTTAGCCCAAGAGGTTATAAAGGGCTTTTGTCATCCAGATAAAGACAAGGAAGAGATGCAAGGCAGAAAAGAGTCTGAACATCAATCCAGGAGCTCAAGTTAGCCCAACTATCACTTCAAACAGAAATTGTAGCATCAAATTAAACTGGCGCATAACAGGCTTTTAATTTAAGACCTGGAGGCATCAGCTAATTTAGGGTGGTGCCAACCAGTGTGATGAAGTCTGAATACAAATGGCAGACACCCCAAGGGCACATGGCTCTGCCCTCAAGGACCTCACGGTGGGTAAAGGAAATGCATTTACTGCTCATAACACAATACGATGGTGGAGACATTCCTCAAGGCCATGCAACACAGAAGTGAACAGTCTGCTGAGATGTGCTTGGGCTCCTATTTGAGTTCAAACATACATCTGTAACTTATAAGCATGGAGGTATTATAACCCCTTGTAGAAATAACAAAGGCCAATACATATTTATTCAGGAAGTAGCAATCTCCACTTACAGAAAGGATGACTGGACAGCCTACTATTTGCCAAGCATGTGTGCACAGAGTTTTCATGCACATTCGCTCTTTGTGCTTATCTGCTATTTGGGAAACATTAAGTACATTTGTTACACATACAAGGAACAAGAAGTCTGATAACTTTCCCAAGGTCACGATGACAGGAAGAAAAAGGATTTGAACCCACATCTAAATGATCCCAGTGTTCCATCCTTGTAATGGACCCACATTGTTTACAAAAGCTATCCAGTAGAACTCATGCTCAACAAGGCTGCATTTCCAAAAACCTAGATGCCCTTTTTGCATCTTTTAGAAATTCCTCCCATAGGTATCACTAGTTGTAAGTCACCACCATGATGAAAATCAAGCAATATCAGGAGCTGCTAGTATTTTGTCTCCCAAATGCCATAAGTTAACAAAAAGAATGCAGAACTTAGTGGATATATAGTTCATGTTAAACTTTTATTTATAAAATGAAAGTTAATTTTAGTTTGCCTTTTGAAATTAGTGCAGGAGTGCTGGTATTTTTATCATAGACCCATGACTAAATATAGTTCCTCTGCTTCAAACTTACATAAAATATTTACTTAAGCATAATTATACCACAAAAGCTGATTCAAATGCCAGGCTTCATTAGGAGAGTTGCACAGTTGTCTTAAATCGAGACAGGGGGGTTAATCAAAGTGTAATTACTCTGACCTTAAGCCACTTATATCTTTTTATATATCATGCTATTTATAATGCATTTTGGCAGATCAGCCTTTCGAACATATCAGAGGCTGTTTAGTAAAATGGAGTCATTATTAATATCATCAGGGATGCATAGAAGTTAGAAAGAAATGGTTACTGGATTCCACCTAAATACATAATGGGCTATTGGAGATACAGAGAACTGTAAAGAAGCTCTCAGCTCATCTCAAACTTGCATTTCTATAGGAGATAAGTCAAGCAAACAGGAAAACTACATTACTCACAGTGTCTCCTCAGACCAAACATATGCTACAGTCTGTAAGTGCTATAAAAATTGAAAGAAAACACTTCCCTGTGAGACTCGGGGAAGCTTTCAAGAATGAAGTGGAATTTGAGCTTGACCTTGAAGAATCATTACTTTCTGCTCTCATTTAGCACCTGTGCCAACCAGTCAGTGAAAGTGAAAGTGAAGTGAAAGTCACTCAGTCGTGTCTGACTCTGCAACCCCATGGACTATACAGTCCATGGAATTCTCTAGGCCAGAATACTGGAGTGGGTAGCCTTTCCCTTCTCCAGAGGATCTTCCCAACCCAGGGATTGAACCCAGATCTCCCAGACTGCAGGAGGATTCTTTACCAGCTGAGCCAGAAGGGAAGCTCTAGAATACTGGAGTGGGTAGCCTATCCCTTCTCCAGCAGGTCTTCCTGAACCAGGAATCGAACCAGGGTCTCCTGCATTGCAGGTGGATTCTATACCAACTGAGCCATCAGGGAAGCCCATCAAGCAGCACCTGAAGCCTCCCCACCCACCACCAGGTGAGCTCTCTCTGCATCAGTCCCCAAATTCCTCCAGGACAGGAACCTTGCCTTGTGTCTCCCTGAATATCTAGTTTGCTTTAATAAGCATGTTCCAAACAGTGTGTTGGCCACCTGGTGAGAAGAGCTGACTCATTGGAAAAGACCCTGATGTTGGGCAAGAACTGAGAGCAAGAGGAGAAGAGGGTGACAGAGGATGAAATGGTTTGATGGCATCACCGACTCAATGGACATGAATTTGAGCAAACTCAGGAAGATGGTGAAGGACAGGGAAGGCTGGCGTACTGCAGCCCATGGGGTCACAAAGAGTAGGATCCAACTTAGTGACTGAACAACAAAACTGTGTTATATAGATCTGGATTAAACATTCCTATGGAAAGGTCAGTCGCTCCCATTCTTTCTCAGAGTCTCACCAGGAAGAGAAGCATGTAAATGCAAAGGACCACGTACTACACACAATGGCAAAACCACCCACCTGCACCCAAGACAGAAGGCTTGGGCCCCAGGCAGACAGCATAGCCTACTGACTGTAGTAGTCAGTTCAGTGAGTGCTGACAGCTGTCCCACCCCGCAGACCACCCGTTGCTGAATGCTTCTGTCTCCCTCAAAACATTCCACATGCCCCTTTGTGGTCTGCCCCATCCTCTGCCTCTAGAAACAGTCAACTGCTCTTTCACTGTCATTATAGGCTAGTTTGCATTTCACATAAATAGAATCATCTGGAATGCATGATGTGCATAATATACCTGTTAGGCACACCACTTGGTAACTGATTTCTTTCATGCAGGATGAATATTTTGCATTTCATTCGTCTTGTTTTACAGATCACTCATTATTTGGTTCCTTTTTATGGTTGAGTATGAC